TTATATTATATTATAATGTCCAACTGTAACCACCTACCTTAACCAGCTCTTTTTCACAAGGTGTCTCTACAGTAAAAAGGAGCAGATTACTCCTGGAGAGTTACTTCAGAGGGCCAAATGAGATTCCTCATCTAGGAAAATCTCTTCTCTGAGTTCAAAGACATCCCAAAATGACCAGCCAGGATGAGTGAAATAAACCATTCATCTCTATTCTAAATTCATACTTCTATTCTAAATTATTTAGAGGTAGAAATACTTTTTCCATTCTACTGCATAGCAGCAGAAAGCCATTTTAAATGGGTCACATAACAAGGCAGCATAACCAAGTTCATTATAATCAGTGTAAATTAGTTCTGAGTCCATAGAAAATAAGTAATAGATAATTCTATAGTGTGTTCCATTTGACTTGTGTTTCATTGTATAGTCCATCCACCCCATATTAGACCTTAAATGGAGAGCAGTTAGGTACTACATTACATACCAAGATCTTGATTATGAGCTTTCTCTTGTCCTTCCAGGTACAGCAGACTGTAGCCAGTCCATAATTTTGGCATCCCCTGTGGACAGAGTGGTTCTCTGTCTGACTGACTGTGAAGGACGAGCAAGAATCCACTTGCAGATCTAGTATGGGGGCCTGGTGGTCCTGGGATACCAGTCTGGCCAGGTGGACCTTATACAAAGGAGAAAAGGTAAAAGAAATTTATTTCTATGAACATGTAGCTAGTGTGAACTTTTATCTTTTACTATATTTAAGTGTTCAGTAAAGGGTTCCTGACTGAATAGAATACAACTTCTCTGGTTGTCATGGGCAATAAAGGCACTAGTAGACTCATGTTATCCTTCTTATGGGAGAGAAATGAACTAGATTGCCACTGCGTGCTTGACAGCTGGCTTTTCTATTGTGCCTCTGTCCTGTGCTGTATGGATTATGAAATGAACTGAGGTGGGCAATGATCTCCCAGCCGTACTCACTAGGATGACTTGTCTGGACTGAATTTGAATCCATGCAGTAACAGTTGATGCCCTTTCCTCACATGTGTATTAAACCATTAGTTTATTAAACGGCAGTCACAGATAAAATACAATTGTAATTACTCACAGACAGTTGCACCATTAGCCCTGACTCGGAAATGCACACCTATTGATATATGGTGTTTGAGCATGTGTGGTTAATTGCTTTTCTGGTTAATAATGGATTCTGAGATAAATTGTCTTCTGATAGGGATTGTAAGTGTTATGAAATAATTCAAATTCAAATTCAAAATCAATGCTTGAACTGAGAGGGGGAAAGAAGTGTCATGGTACCTCAGGCTGAGGTGGATATATCCATGTATGAACTGAGGGAGCAGAGAGAAAACTTAGTCTATACATTATCTCACACATCTCTTCCCTAAAAGTCCTGTTCCATTCTTACCTTGTGGCCCAGCGTATCCCTGCTCTCCTCTATTCCCTTGGTCACCTGGTGGTCCCGGTGCCCCAGGTGAGCCATCTTCACCTGGCAGGCCACACGACCCTTCTTCACCTTTTCTTCCTAGATGAATACAAAGTATGTGCTTTCCCTTCCTAGGGCTGCATTTAACGGTTACACATTGTCCAAACATACATAGCATGCAAAGGGCCAGTCTGCAAAACTGACACCACCCAGAAATGATGCTTCAGGACAGAGAGGGGTAGAACTGCTTTCTGCTGGGAATTCTCTTTACAACTTATTCCCCTTATGACCGCAGTAGTAGCTCAGAGGCATGACTTTAGTAACAGCAACTGCTGATAAGGTTTTATACCCTTTCTACAGAACTTGTGCGATTTACAAAGCACTAACAAACATTATAATGACAAGCCTCTTGCAGAAGTGCCATCAGTATCTGTACCATGTAATGAGTTATAACTCATCCTATGGCAGGCCTTCATCTTTGCGGACCCAGTTCAGCAAAGTCTTTAACCAGGTGCTGAACTTCCTGTGAGGTAATGCATGTATGAGAGCACTTACAGAACAGGCAGGGACTGACGAATTGGAATACATCCAGTAGGGAAGGGTAAAGACATTTTTGGGCTCCTGATGGCCTCACCTTTTTATATTTCTCACATGTACATGCATTTTTATACATTAGCAGATAACAAGGCGTGACCATGACAGTAAAAGACACGTCTCGCATGCAGAGCATAGTGATGGTCCTGTTCACTGGCTACTTTAACATAGTCTGAATTGAATGAAGTTACACTTGTCAGGTATTATTGCACTCAGTAGCGTTTTTCCACTTTTGGTAAAAAGTTTTCAGATGAGTATGTCTCTCCAGCACCACGGTTGTTTCTCATTAATGGTGTGTGTTTCATTCCTTGCAGATTTTGCTATTTAATCTGCAGACTCAGTAATTCAACGTTATCTCACAACATTCAAAATTTCCCCATGTTACTTTCTACTAGATTCATTTAGAAAACCTAGCCCAGACAAAACAATTTAACAGCTTTTTAATGTTGGTTGCATAGTTATTTTGCCAAAGCTCAAGTACACTGAAATTTTGGTAATAAACATTGCTTTTGCCAGTAAAACCTCCAGTTTGCCTCCCAAGCCAGGAGAAAATTGGAATTCTGATACCTTAATGAAAGGAAAAGCATTAATAAGTGTTTCTTTCATAAAATCAGTGTGAGTATGTATCATTGCATCAGATGGTTTTACAGAAACTATTTTAATGATGTACATAATGGAAATACAGCAATTCAACCCTAGAAACACCTTTTAGTTGGCAAATCAATTAAGATATGTAAAACTAGACAGTTCACTGAAAATTGCTTTGTGTTCACTTTTATAAAGGGAATGACTCCTGCAGGGAATCTCCTGGGAGAAAATAATGGATTTTCTCTCTGGAAACATTGGATGTCCAGTGCAGCCACCCCAACAAACTTCAGTTTCCCAAGTAGGAAATATCTAAAGCCACACGCGAGATTCCACTATCCAAACTGAAGACACCACATTTAGACGCAACTGAAGACACTACACAGACATGCTATGCTGTATTTCTATGAAGATGGCCACTCTGTTGGAATCGTTGGTACCAGCATCACCCTTGTTTTATTTTTATCTGTCAGAAGAATGTGTCAGTCTTTCACTTCTTTTTAAGATCTCCTTGGTCAGTTTTCTTTTGTGGTAACTTTTCCATGTTCTAACAGATAAAAAGTGCTATCATAGCCACCTCTCAGACTTCAGTGTCCTTTTATGACTTCGGTTAGCAGAGCTTTGTGATTTGTTATTGCTAAATTTTAAAGCATGTGTATTTTAACATCCTCCAAATACAACTTGTCTGAACCATAGGCGTGGTTTGAGGCAGTGCTTTTTCATTTGTTAGTAAAAAAGAAAAAATACCGTTTGAAGAACTCTTTTTCTCAGCAGTGCCTGATGCTTTTGCCCTCCCTGGCTTGGGAAAAGGGAATGCAGCACAGGCAGGCTCAAGCAGCCTGGTTCAGCTATATTGATCCATGATCCTCAGCATTAACCAGCCACGGCATGTTTCTGGAGACTGTTAATAAGTGTTTAAGGGGAAGAGGCAGTGTAAAACATAGAGAAGTAACACTGACACTCTGACCCTTTTCAGTTTGTTGTCTAAATGGCTAAAATAGACATCCAAGCTTTCCAAACCCAAGCTTACCTTGGGGTCCAGGGTGGCCTATTGGCCCTGGTAATCCTACAGAGCCATCATCTCCTCTTTGCCCTGCTTCCCCAGGAGGCCCTGGGATTGCACGGCACGAATCATCTATTTTTCCTGGTTCACCAGGGTCACCTGGAATGTGTAATAGGAAAATAAATTAGAAGATTGGTTAATAGCTCCCATGTGAAAAATCAACAAAACTGTTAGCTGGTTTTGTTATTCAAGGGTATACTGTAAGTATTTTAAAATCCTGAATTATCAAGTCTCACTGCTTTTAATTTTACTTTTAGTCTTTTAGCACAGTATTTAACAGCATGGCAAGCATGTGTTAGCAAGTGTATGCTAGCTGATACATTATTTGCTATATGGGTTTTGGAACAAAATTAGAATTAGATCAGTTTAGTCAGATTATGAGTTCAGCGTTTGTAGTAATCCAGTGTTAGGATTCAAGCTTTTTCTAAATTTTGGTTAGAAAGCATCTTGTGTGACAACCAAAAATCAAAATGATAATTTGGAACAAGTGTGTTTTATGAGTCTAATTGACATCATAGTATGAGACTTCTCAATGTAGCATTATCATGATGTGGGTCTCCATGGAAGTGCTAGCTATTTATGTGAAAACTGCTACAGCAACATAGTTCTAATACAATATTGACTGTTCCAAGCAGCCAAGCCAAGAATACCTTCTAATAAAAGTGGAATGTATCTGTACAGAAGAAAGCTCACATGAAAAGAATAATCACTAGTCATTAACTTACCTATGAAACCTGAAGGATTTGAAAAATGGAGAGCAGATTGCATCCATTGTGGTGCAGGTGGAAAGAAGTTTCAAGCATGTAAATGAGAGTAAAGAATGGAATGAGAACTGAAATAATTTACATGATGTAGCAGTAGAAACAAACACATAGTTCAGAAATTTTTACACAACTCAAATGATAAATCAATTAAGTTGGGGTTTTTTTCTGAGATAGTTTAAATTATCTGGATGCAAGTAAACATTAGTAAGATATATATGAATAGAAAGATCATGGTTACAATTCAGTGACAATGAGCAACAGGTTCATAAGTACCTGTGGGACCTCTGGGACCAGGTTTTCCTTGAAAACCTTGGTCTCCTGGTTGTCCTATAGCACCAGGTGGACCCTGTGGACCATGGATTCCCATAGGACCTGTAAAGAAAACAGTTGTTCAGTTACATGTAGATGCATTCCAATAAGGTGAACACATAAATAAGATGAAGTCTGGCTGCTTGAGTAACAAAAAATTCTTGAGACAGCTCAACTCTGTTGTCTCCCAGAAAGAAATGCACATTTTATCTCTTCTTTCCCTGGTCTTGAACTGAATTAAAATTTATGACTTTTCTGTTTGTAGAGATTGGAAGGGATTGATGTAGACAGAACTTCTCTACAGTGTGTGCAAGCAGCAGAGTATCTAGATCCCTGTTTTCAAACTAAAGAATCTGTTGAAAGCCCAAAGCTATTGATATGGGGCAGATGTGAGACTCTGCGTTAGTTCAAAAACATCTGCATCTTCCATAGTTTCTCAAGACCCCTGTAGAGAGGTCAAGGTTTGCTTTATCTGGCAGACTCAAAAGTTTTACTGCCTTGTTCTCAGGTTGGTAGGGGCATCTTCAAACAAGTTGTTGGAAACAGTACATGTGAATCTGGCTCTACTCTGGCCCTCCACCCCAGCCCTATCTTATCTGTAGATAACAGGACAGAGCTATGAAATATCGAGCCTATCCCTTCTGTCTGGCCCAGTCTCCAACGGCAGTCCCCTGTGCACCAGGCTCAGTTGCATAGGGCTGGGCATAAGTGCACACAAGAGTTAAAAACATCTCAGATCATACCCTTTAGTCCTCTTCTGCCTGGGTTCCCTGCAAGACCTCTGGCTCCTTGTTGCCCTCGCTGCCCAGGATTACCTGGTGCCCCTCGAACACCAAAATCACCTGGATCTCCTCGCACAAAGACAGTCTCTCCAGGAGGACCAGGATTCCCAGGCTGACCTATGGTAAAAGAACTTCAGTCTTAATATATGCACAAAGCATAAACATTTAAAAAATAGCCATGTTCCATTGTGTTTTTTTGCTTTTAGGATTTTTCCCAAAACACGCAGCCCTTGCGTGTTTCTGGAAATATTAGCATTAGCCTTTGTCCAAGGCATTGTAAGGAAGACAATAATAGGAATAGCTCCCAAAACTATGTAGATTCTGTGCAAGCAAAAGGCAGAAAGTTAATGTGACATAGACTGAGACACTGTTTTTCTATATTTATTATACTGCTGCTTGCCCTTCCAATCTCCATGCCCTATTTTCTAATGGGATGTAAACCTTTGTAGTGGGTAAGGAAGGGTTCAGATAATGTAAAGGTTCAGAACAACTTGAAAGAGCTCAATCTGAGGCCATAATCTACAGGAATTGACTGGATCCCTTGGCAACTCCTGTGTGTGACAGAAGTGAGGTCTACAGAAATGCTTACAAAAGAGTTGCCAGCTTTAGCTTTCCCAGGGCTGGATTTAGATTGGAAAACTTTCTGTGGGTTTACCAACCATGGCAGGCTTCTGGACAAGGTGTTCTATCCTTCTTGCTAGGAAGAAATCTTATTTCTATTTGCTTCCATGGAAATTGAGATATCTTGTAGCAGCAGGACTTGTACAGAATTACTGTACAGGCCAGAAAACTGGATCTGGAGATCTGTATTTTATCCTTGCTCTGGAGATGTATCCAGTGTTCATTTCTCTGTGTATTCTCTGAGGTATTGATTTGGGTTCTATGCACTTTCATACGTTATTCCACAGACCATAATCCAGGGGCTTTTTACATGATCAAATCTGGTATTTTTGGTTTTAATACCTCTGATGCCATCAAAACCAGGTGGTCCTTGATCACCTGGAGGACCAGGAGAAGCACTATCAGGAGACCTTCCCATAGGTCCAGTGGGTCCAACAGGTCCTCTTCTACCTAAGGGATAACATTTTACAAAAAAAAAAGAAAGAAGAAAAAAAATCTGAGGTTTTTTTAGATTACAGAAATAAGTTACTAACTAGAAGAATGCTGACGTGTGAAGTCGTGGAGGTAATGTATGCTTTCACTTGTATACTGAACATACTAGTGATTAGGCTAATGAAGGTATCTTGTAGAAATGGTAATATTTGTTATCTTTTAAAATTTTTTATTCTTTCCATAAAAAATTATTTCCATAAAATCCACTTAAACTAAAGAATGCATCGTCACACATTGGCGTATTGCCACAAATAGCTGGCTTTCTCCTTAATTCTAATAATGGGAGAAATGGTAAAAATCTAAGACAGGTGAGGACTATGAAATCATTCTGCCTGGGACAGGATAAGTATTCACAGATTGTTCCTAGCAGAAGTTGAGTTCAGCTATCCTAAAAACCTCAGTGAACAAGATGAACTCACTAGCCTTAAATGTATTTTCTTCCTAATTTGTAATCTGGATTTTTGTAAAATAAGATGTTAGTGCCCTTACATGTGACAGGCAGGAAGAGTTAAAAGTTATCATCCTCTGTATGACACTTTTGAATAGTTGCAGCTTGTTAGCACGTGTGTTGCACTCTGTTGCCTTCTCTTTTCTACAAGAAACAAAATCTAGTTCCTTCAGTCTTGTTTTTGCCCTATCCTTCCATTTACTCTCTAGTGAGTTCTCCCTTATTTATCAAAGCTGGACACAGTATACCATGGGAGGCCTTGACCATCCTATGTAAAGCAGTGTTAATACATCTTAGAATGAAACTTTTTTCCGCAAAAGCACCATTCTGTTGAATCGCCCAGTTCATGAACTAGTAACTGAAATAAGAAAAACGAATGTGTCTTCATCTTAGACACATTAATCTCACTAGAATTCACCTCCACCATTTTTCTTGTGTGTTACGTGACACTGTGGCAAAGTTTGGTAGAGTAAAGCTAATGTCACTTCTAATCACAGAACTGCTGAGGCTTGAATGGTCCTCTGGAGACCTTCTAGTCCAACCCCCTCCTCAAAGCAGGGTCAGCTAGAGCAGGTTGCCTAGGACTCTATCCAGCTGGTTTTTTAGTATCTCCAAGGATGGACACTTCATAACTTCTCTGGGCAACCTGTTCCTGTATTAAATTACCCTCACAGGGAAAACAAAATTTTTCCTTATTTAAGTAGAATTTCCTGTATGTCAGTTTCTGCCCATTGCCTCTTGTCCTGTCAGTGGATACCACTATGAAGAATCTGTCTCCATGTCCTTCCTATCAAATACTTACACATTGATAAAATCCCCCCTGAGCCTGCTCTTCTGGAGGTTAAGCAATTCCCACTCCCTCAGCCTCTCCTCATATGACAGATGCTCCAATCTCTTAACCTTCTTAGTGACCCCTCCTTAAACACTTGTTTTTTCTTATTTCTATGCAATTCCTGTATGACCAAGGCTCTTAAATAATCATAGCAATCCTGTGATACATTTCCATCTTGCATTTACATCAGAATAGCTGATAGATTTATTATATTTCTGTGACTACCAGATCTCTTGCACTCTTTTTCTTCAGGAATTTCTTCACAAAAGGCAACTCCACCTAGCAGTTCCCTCAGTCTGTCCAAGTCTATAATTTTCTATTCTCATTCTTTCCTCTCCTGTAACATAATAAACAAGAAATACTGGGGTGTCTGTATCTACTCGGGAAACATCAGTATGTTATTGCAATAGAAATGTTTTTAGCAAGGGAATCTTCTGGTTATGTATTAATGTTCATGCTAACCAGGGGAAGAGCTTCATTTTCACTCTGCAGGGCACCACTAAGGAGAAAACCCTTTCTTACCTGGGAATCCTGGGAATCCCCTTTCTCCAGGGGGACCTGGAATAGAAATACCAGGCCATCCAGGTTCACCTCTGTCTCCTTTTGGTCCAAGTTCCCCTGGGTGTCCTGGGGGCCCTGTTTCACTTTGACCTTTATAGGAAAACAATTATGTACATAAAACTTACAGTGAGTACAAATACAGATGTGCAGAATAGAAATACCAGCTGCAGATGTTCCTCCTTGCATGGGTTGCCTAGTGCTATTTTTCTGGTTCTCTCTTGGAAGCGGATAGAATTTTGTTGAATCTGGCCTTAATTCATCTCTTTCAAAGAAAGTCATCTCCTTGCTTTAATGCTCTTCTTCAGGGGTTATTTTATATGGTGGTGTTATTGTCTGTAACTTGAAATGTAAACTGATTGCATGGTCCTAAAATTAATTTTCTATCAGCATAAATTTGTAATCTCTAGGTAGATGGTGAGGACTGTTTTTTAATACTGCTTCAAAAATACCTTTTGAAAGTTGCAAATAGATTAGTGTGGGTGAAATCCAGGTTCCTCTTAAGTTTGTGGCACAACTCCCACAGACTTTAACGGGGCTGGGATTTCATAAGTCTCCTTTTAATTTGTTAGTTTTATCTCCTACATATAAAAAACCTAGAGACTTGGCTCTACTTTGAATCATCTGCACTGAACATTTCATTTTATAAACAGCCTTGAAAGGTTCCAACAAAACTATGAGTAATGGAAGTTTTAAAGTTTTCCCCACAAATAACTTCAGGTGTGTCATTAGGCACACTACATTCTGCTTGAAAGTTTAGTCTGAGCCTTAATGATATCTTTTGGGCAAGGCAAAAATCAAAATAACGTGTATTATTCCTTGCACATTCAGTCAAGTAAGAGAAGATTTTCTGTTCCACATAGCTATTTCCCTTCTTTACCTGGAGCTCCTGCAGAACCTTTTTGACCTTTTAGTCCATCCAAGCCATCCAGTCCGGGCAGTCCAGGAAGACCTGAGAGGTATTACAGGCATGACCAGGTGCCACAATAATCCTTTAAAGTCACAATTTAAAATTATGCCATTTTTTTTCTGACAATGCATTCTGGATCAAGACAGAGTATTTGCTGAATTTGATTCTTATTGGCAGCTGAAGACAAGATCACATTGCACCTGAGTGCAGTCTTTTGGGAAAGGAAAGTGTGAAAAATCTGAAAATAGGAATCATAATAATCACATCAAAGCAATCAGAAAACATGCCTTGTAATCCTTTAGGTATTTCTATACTGCAGCTAGCTCAGTATGGGCTAATTTTCTCTGTAGTGAACCTGGTGTCTGTGGCTAGGCTGCTATTGCTACATGTGATTATCTAGTCCAGAGTTAGCTGAGTTTATCACTACACGACCAGGTGACCAGGATGCAGACAGCTTCTGTTCCAAATGTAAGTGCGATTTAATCTAGCTGCACTAGAAAGAAGCTAAATTTTCACCTGGCTTCTTTTCCCTGGTCCTGCAGATTTCACACAGAAAACTATGCTTTTTTGCATCACACTGTTACAAAAATTCTTTAAACTGAATAGCACAAAGTCTTTGAAGACAACAAATCTGTAATTGAGACCTAAGCTGATGTGATAGTACAGAGCAGCTTTTGTCACTAGTGATGTTCACTAGATGAGCAGATTACAGGCTGAGCATTCATGATAGTCAGATATAACTTTTGCTTTATAATCTGTGCTTTTTTGAAAATTGCTAAAACACAATAAGTAAAAACACAGAAGGCAATTTTTTATCCTTTTTTAAATAAATTGAACTAATCTGAGATTGTGTTTGTTTACAGTGGAGGGTAAAAATATCTCCATGTCATTAGCACTTTATAGTTTTCTAAGTTATATAGATGAAGTATCAAATGTGAGGACGTACATCTATTAAATGCAGACAGCAGCCTATCACCTGGTGATAGGAACAGATTTGACAAAACCGATGAGTCATTTGGTAACAGGTTTCAAAGAGGTTTCAGACAGAGGAATAGACTTGGGACGCTTCTTGCTCCAGAGAGAGACAGATGAGAGTGGAGACTGATTGTTGAACAATATTGTCAGTGCCTATTCCTGTCTCTTTTTCACTTTTGCTGCTTATCTCTGTCTAATTTCCTTTGCCACCAGTTCCTCTCCCTGCCATGTAGCGTTCCCAGTCCAGTTGCAGTATTTTTTTTTTTTTTTCACAAATCTGAATTATCTTTCTGTCTCTCTCCTTTCCCCTGTCTAGCTACTTCCTGGCATAGAAGATGTAGGTTCTCTATTTCAGTTCCTGTGCTTGATCCCAGCATGTCCTGCAGCACGCCAATCTGCTGTATATCCAGAGCATGAATCATGGGAGAATTTATTGCTCTACTTCAGCACATATGAATGGGTTATTTTTTTTAAAGATGGTCAGTCTGGCAGGAATAAATCGCTGTAGGAACAGCAACACAAATGCCCTTCACCAAGTGCGTCACCTGCCAAATTTAAAGGTCTCTAGTTCAAAGATGGATCATCTGAGAAGGGAAAAATAAAAGGGCACTAGAGTTCTCTAACAGACACACAAAAAATAATAAACCCACAGCTTTTTTTCTCAGAAATGGTTGCATGATTTTAGTTAACATTTAACAAAGGAATGAAAAGAAAGGAAAAAAAAAATCCAGCCTGTAGCAAACACTGGTCTGGAAAAATCTTAAATCCAAAAGATTGTTTGAAAACTGGCAAGACATTGATAATATATTCTGTATGTAATCCCCTTTATAAAATGGGATACTAGTAATCCAGCCTGTAATATCTTCTATGCCCCTAGTTAACTGCTCTTCAACTTTTCATTACATTCTAAGTTTCACTCCTGCTTTCTGTAGCCTTCTTCTGCTTTGGGCACGTTTCCATTTTCAAATTTATGTAAGAGTTGCATGCCAATTTGGGGAATTTAACAGTGGTATTTTAAAATTATTATTAACTCCTAACTATTTTTGGCACCCAGGTCACCATTTAAAACTTTTTTGATCTTTAGCTCATTCCGTCAAGATTGATGGCTTGGTTTACTTGCTTTCCAGGGAATTTCTGACGCATTTGCCAACAATCCATTATAATATCAGCACTTGTAATTCTAGATTTTTGCATTGCTAGAGTCCCATATTTCTAGGTACAGCTGAATTGGCTGACCTACGTATGAACCACTGTTTCTGTATTTTACAGCCCAATTCAGCTTCTACTCACACAAGTAATTCTGCTGATGTTAATATTACTTGCTTCATCAAGGATTACTCACACAAGTAAGGTTGCCAGACTAAGCCCTTAACTAGTAAAACTATCTCTGTAATAAAGAAAATGTTGTTATGGTTTGGTAGATGCTGTTTAACTTTTTTTTTGAACTGAAAGTTCTTCAGGAACAAGACATTTAATGTAAATGAGAAGTGGTTAGACTAACAAGGCTGTGTACTTAGCTATGAACAGCCAATTAACCATTTCACTTCTAATGCTAGCAACAATATTTATTGAAAATAGCATTAAGATCTATATTCTCTGATTGAATTGGAATACAAATTCCATTCAGTTATCATTACTGGGTATAATTTCAAAGGTGTTAACCTTTTTTTCAACTATGCTGGCAACTTATAGAATCCTAAGGCCTAGTAGGAAACTTGGTCTCTGAAGAACTGCCATTTGGAACTGAACTCTTCCCTCTGCAGCATGTGTGTTAATTTGTTACGGTTCCTGTGCAGCTCTTTGGGATAACTTCTGCACAATACAGAAGAAAAGTGTCTTACCACTTGTGACAAGAAGGGAAGAGTCCATCTGCTACTAAGAAGTTTTCATCAGAAGAATGGTTTTTTTTCTTTTGACCCCTTTGAATTTAGACATCCCTCTCACTGCAGATCTCTGCCTTTGTTACAGTAAATATTGTTTGCAACAATGAAACATCCTCTTTCAGATTATGCACCAGCAAGGAATCTGTCATGACAGTTTAAATCAGCACCACTTACTTACTGCAAGCAATCATAAATGGTTTCCATTTTTCATTTAAATTTTCAGTTAGCTTATAAGAAACCTTCTCATTTTTCCCTTAGGCTGGATTTGGAAAAGTGAATCCATTGTCCTCTCTAACCATCATCATAGCCCTGTTACTTTACTGTGATTTCTACATATGGGTCATTAATATTCTTCCTGCCCAGGAACTGGTTATGAAGCACACTATAACAGAGAGAGGATACAAAGTACATAGTTGATTACTTTTTTTTATGAAACATTAATGTAACTTATAATTTCAATATATCATTCTGAGTATAGTAAAAGTTAATAATGTTCTCCAGCAAAAACAACTGTATGGATGAACTACTCTTCAATCTAAACAGAACAATCATTGTGAGAAGTGTAAATTAGGATTTGGAGGAAACATTTCTACATTAAATCCACCAAAAATCAGTTTTTGGAGAAAACAAAACAACAACAACAAAACCCAAGTTATCTTATCACAATTTCCTAAAACAAATCTGTAAGACAAAACAGTCCACAGCAGTCTGCTGGTTTTGTAGAGTAACAGTGGCACTCCATGGTGAAAAGGTAGAACACAGCATAATTTAAGTGAAAGTGAGACATCTGAATTACTGCAAGCTCCTTTTTCTTTCCTTAACTTCTGCGATTCGTTACATCAGCTGAGCCAGAATCTGTTTATACATTTTTTTTTCTTGTTTTTAATGGTAGCCCAATTTTCTGAAGTAGCATTTATGTTACTTTTCAAAGGTGATGCGAACTGGCTTAATTCTTCGAGTAGTTTAAGAGAACACAGAATCAAAATTCCATTTTCACTACCAGACGGGTATTTGTCAGGTGCTGCTACATTACCAGTAGAACTGCACTGTGTACTGTTTACCTTTTCTGCCTTGGGATCCAGCTAATCCTTGCAATCCTGGAGGTCCCAAAATTCCGTATTTCCCTTTTTCACCAGGTTCTCCTGGCAATCCCTGAGGACCTGTAGCTCCTGAGAGGGAAAAAATAAACCAGTGAATATGCAAATCTATTAAACTGTTGATTTCTTTTTTTTTTTTTGGGGGGGGGGCTATGCAGCACACTGCGTTAATCAAGAGGTACCTGAAGGTTTATGGAAATGTATGAAGAACTGACAGATCTTGCTCTCTGAGACTGAGCAGACTATTGCTGCTGTATATAGGTACTGAAATAGCTTTCAATATACGCCTTCAAATGATCTCTGATTTCTCTAGTGTTCTTCACAGGGGTGCCTCCTCAGCTGCATTTTCCTGTTCCATATCTCTTTTGAGCTGTTATATGGCACTATTTTTTAAATTTTGGCATTACCTGGTAATCCAGGTATTCCTGGGTATCCAGGGTCACCCTTGGGTCCTGGTCTTCCAGGTTGCCCTTGGATACCTGGTGAACCCTTCTCTCCTGGGAATCCACAGAGTCCTTAAAGAAAAAAACACAATCTAGTATTTATTTGTGTGAAGTTGCTCATTCTTCATCTCATGGTAAGTGTAAAAATATAAAAGTTCAGGAATGTGTTTCTTGACTAGAAAAATAATTTTATTAAAGTAATTCAGATCCTTGCATCTATTTATTAGCAATGAATTATACTGGTCTCTCTGGTGATATCTGAAAGGGCAGCAATGGCTAGCAAGATATAGCCAAGCGAGGCTTTATTCTGGTGAGTATTGGTATATTCAGCGGTGCTGTACAACACTAGACTCTACCTCCTATGTTCATGCTACCCGTATTGCACATCATGATGCCTCTCCAATCCCCGGGTTTATAACTATAGAAAATACCACTCAATACACACAGGAAGCAGAGCTCCCTCTCCACTAACAAAGCTTAGACAAAATAAGTTCTTAAATCCAATTTTTCCTTTCAGCCAGACAGAGGTACCTGGTAACCCTGGATCTCCAGGAGGCCCTTTTCGACCACGTGCACCAAGCAGAGGAGTTGGGTCACCTCTCTTGCCTGTTGAGGTACAATAACTTTCATTTCATGCAAGTATTCTTTTCATCCACAAAACCAAAGCCATACAATTTTGTAAGAGCAGATAATTCACTCATAGATATTAACAGCTATAAAAGAGACTGAGAGAACACACAATGAAAAAGCTTTGGCACATGCAAATTATCTGCCAGCTCATCTTGTCTTGGAGTACTAACTCAGTTTGTGTTTAGTATGACTCCTGGCAGTATTCATGTAAATTTCCCATAATGAAACAAACAAACAAACAAAAAAACCCCAAACAAAAAAACAAAACAGAAATTATGGGAATTTTCCCGATACTGATAGCATATACTGAAAATGAAAGATATTGCATAAATTCTCTATAACACTTTATTAAACAAAGAGAACTCCCAACATAGGTTTGTGAGGATCTGCAAAATCAACACAGCGTGAGTCTATTTACTCAGTAAAGACAATTTTAGGGACTAGCCAGGGACTTTAAGCCAGCATACCTTCTTCTTTCTGTCTGTGGTAAAATTCCTTCTGTCTATCACAGAATCAATAATTCTGAGCAGTGTTCCTCACATTGTCTCTACAAATGTGCAACCTCTCCTTCCTATTCATGCTGTCTCCACCTCTGCTGGCTCTTTCCTGCTTTAGTTTTAAGGAGAACTTTTCCAGTAAATTTATTTTCAATACATTTCATAGAAGTTCTCTTTACATTGAGTATTGTTCTTTACTCTTTTTTGTAGGATATATTCCCTGGCTGAGAAGGTCTTGAATTTTTGAAGAAAAGGAAAACGTAACTGATAAAATAATCTCTCCTGTCCCCTTACTGCTTCTTTCCAGGCAATGATTTAATTTTGTAATTTATTAGCAATGAAATCCTGCCCCAAGGGAATTTGGAATATGATGGATGACACCATTTTGTATTTCTTTGAAACACTTAAAAGAACCCTAAATATTATAGCTAAATTTTTCAGAGTAATCTCTACCTATGCAAAAACCAATATGCAAAACTTCTTTTCAACTGAATAATTTTGCATTCATGGGTATGAACTCTGCCTCATTCATTATGCTACACTTCCAGAAGTTCCAAGGATTCAAAAATCATCGCCTGGAAAACACCAGAAAATAAGTGATATAAAAGAAATAATAAATCATGTTGGAATATTTTAAAAATTCTACATGTCTGTATAACACCACACCGTAATACCATAAATGACTGCACTTTCTCTTATTTAATTTGACAAATTTTACAGATCCATAAGAGTGGATTTTTCACATGTTTGATGGAATATTTAAACTCTATGAAATTTGACACAAATTTATCTTCTAAATTAACAAGACCTACTTTAAAAGGAACAACCTGTTAAAGAATATACTGAAATGCAAATTTTCCCTTAGGTAAGTCAGACTTGTTTCTAATGACATTCAAGTTTTAATTATTTTAACTTCTGTCCTGTTTTCCCTTTTCTATTGAGTACTTGCCATCTATGAGAGCATACACGTCCTAACAATATTGCTTTCTTTCAAAAGCATGTCTGTATAAACTCATTACCTTTATATCCTTTTGGACCAGTCAGTCCTGGATTTCCAGGGATTCCTGGTAAACCAATGTCACCCTGATTTTTTTAAAAACAAAATAAAAATATTTGACATATGATATGTATAGATCTATAAGAACATTTGGTTCTCTCACACTGGTAAACAGAGCAGCAATCAATATGAATAGCAAAACTGTATCTTAAGCTCAACAGAAAAGCATGCTGTCTTTGTCACAAGTCTAACACTGACCACTAATACTTCCAAGAAACTGTAGATTAGATTCGCTAATCATTTTGAATTTGTGTTTTTAAAGTTTATGCTAACTCTTGGCTTGAACAGCTTAAATTCCCCACAGATGGCTTGAGTAATTTGATTTAAAAGGTACCATAAAAATATACCAAATATTGTTGTATGTCACCCAAAATTTACTACAAACATTAATCAGAAATATGTTGTGATGTAACAGTAAAAATGTAAAGATTTCTCTACTTTTCCTTTTGAATAATGACCTGTAACCATCAAAACAGATTGTATCTACAAAGAACTATAATAAAAGACAAGGAGATATATCCCTTTACCAAAAAAACCAACTGTGCTCTATGTTTCATGTAATCTCACTGCCTGTCTATCTAGCATACAAGCCAGTGAAGAATTTTACCTTATATGCATACGTGACGCATGTGGTTTTGTATATTTGTTCTTGAGCAATATTGCTTGCCTGGGTTCTGTTTGGTGCAAATTGTTGGAATGGGCACAGAAGACTTGGTTTGTCTTTTCTGTTGTCTTGGCTGCTCCACATAGCAAGGTATGAAGAAGCAGCTATATATTAACATCATACTTATGCTGCTGCTATGTTTTGATCTTCGAAGTAAGTGATTTGTCAATCTGTTTTTAGGAATAATGTTAAAAACTTGTGCGTCCATTTTTTGCCCCCTAATTGGTGCAGTGTAGCCTGGACTTCCACCAAGTGGCAATATAACAAAATCACAACATGCTAGGAGAGAGGGGAGAGGCTCTTTGTTGACTCTGACTAGTTCCTGCTAAAATGTAATCAAAGCACTGAAGTGTTGCATTAAGGAATTTACCTTTCCTGTTATACTGACAGTCTCTTCTCAAGGAGAAACATCTAATGGGTAAGTACAACAGAAGTATCCTCCATCGTATTTCTTGGAGGCAGGAGATAAGTGCGCAAGGTCCAGGACATTTTCACTACATGTCATCTACCTGGACTTCTGCAAAACCTTTGACATGGTCCCTCACCACATCCTTCTCTCTAAATTGGAGAGGTGTGGATTTGAAGGATGGACTGTACGATGGATTAGGAATTGGCTGGCTGGACGCAGCCAAAGGGTTATGATTAATGGTTCTGTGTCAGGGTGGAGGCCGGTCACGAGCGGTGTCCCTCAGGGGTCCATCTTAGGACCGGTGCTCTTTAACATCTTCATCAATGACATAGACGATGGCATCGAGTGCACCCTCAGCAAGTTTGAGGATGATACTAAGCTGACTGGTGCCGTCGACACATTGGAAGGAAGGAAAGCCATCCAGAGGGACCTGGACAGGCTGGAGAAGTGGGCCCGTGTAAACCTAATGAGGTTTAATAAGGCCAAGTGCAGGGTGCTGCACTTGGGTCAGGGCAACCCCAGATATTTGTACAAACTGGGGGGAAGATCTCCTTGAGAGCAGCCCTG